TACAGGATCTGAATGGATTTGGACAGATTTAAACCGACTTGGGGATTTGTCTCCTAGATCGTTAAATAAAACTTAGGTGAAAAAAATCTGTTTTGTTTCAGTTATATGTGGTAGGTTAAATTAAAAGTGAGGGAAATTAACATTGCATAATCTGGGATTTGAAGGTGGTTCCTAAATTTGCTAAGAAAGTTTAGGAAGACAAAGCAAGGGTATACTTTTACACTTAGCAAACAAGCTAGATTTGGGTTTAACTAAGGATAAAAAAAAAAGCTGAAATTGTAAAGGAATTGGTCAAGCACTTAGGTACATCAGAAAAACAGACAAGTGCAGTGGAGTCAGAGATAATTAAATTGAAAATTAGACAAATGGAGTTAGAAGAGAAAGAAAGGGAAAGAAGAGCCATGTCAGAAGATAAAGAAAGGGAGAGAAAATTCTTTGCTGAGCACAAAGAGAGTGGGAAAGAGTGAGGGAGAGAGATAGAGAGTGAGTATTGAGGGTATCGAGTACAAGTGTTGGCAGGTCATGTTACAGTTGTATAGGACTTTGGTTCGACCACATTTGGAATATTGCATACAGTTCTGGTTGCCATATTACCAAAAGGATGTGGATGCTTTGGAGAGGGTGCAGAGGAGGTTCACCAGGATGTTGCCTGGTATGGAGGGCACTAGCTATTAAGAGAGGTTGAATAGATTAGGATTATTTACATTAGAAAGACAGAGGTTGAGGGGGGGACCTGATTGCGGTCTACAAAATCATGAGAGGTATAGACAGGGTGGATAGCAAGAAGCTTTTTCCCCAGAGTGGGGGACTCAATTACTAGGGGTCACGATTTCAAGGTGAGAGGGGAAAAGTTTAAGGGAGATATGCGTGGTAAGTTCTTTACGCAGAGGGTGGTGGGTGCCTGGAACGTGTTGCAAGCGGAGGTGGTGGAGGCGGGCACGATATCGTCATTTAAGATGTATCTAGACAGATACATGAATGTGCAGTGAGCAGAGGGATACAGATCCTTGGAAAATAGGCAACAGGTTTAGATAGAGGATCTGGGTCAGCGCAGGCTTGGAGGGCCGAAGGGCCTGTTCCTGTGCTGTAATTTTCTTTGTTCTTGTTCTTTGAGAGAGAGAGAGGGAGAGAGGGGAAGAGAGGGGGAGAGAGGGGAAGAGAGGGGGAGAGAGGGAGAGGGAGGGAGAGAGAGAGAGGAAAGAAAAAGAGAGAGAGAAGAAAGGGTAAGAATGTTTGAGTTGGAAAAGCTGAAGTTGGAACTTGAAGCAAAAAAAGACTTTAAATGACAGAAGGAAAGGTACAAGATAGAAGAGAGGGTGCGCAAGCTCATCATAGCCAAAGGCCTAGAAGTGAAATATACAAATATGTCCAAACTTTACCAAAATTCAATGAAAAAGATGTAGAAGCCTTTTTTTATTTCCTCTGAAAAATTGGCTAGGCAGATGACTATTGTGGGTCGGCCAGAGACTATTGTGGGTAATGTTACTTCAGACCAAGTGGTAGGCAGGGCTCGTGAGGTGTATGCAGTGCTGTCAGTTGAGGAAATTATGAAGATGTTAAACAGGCTATTTTGAGACCCTATGAATCGGTACCAGAAGCACATAGACAACAGTTCAGAAACATAAAGGAGGAACCAGGTCAGAGTAATTCTTTCAAACTTGACATAAAACAGAGCAACTTTGATAGATGGGTGAGAGCATTAAAGCTGGAAAGAACACATGAGGATTTTAGAGAGATTATTCTGCTGGAGGAGTTTAAAAACTCCCGATAATGATAAGTAGCTATATCGAGGAACAGAAAGTTACCAAAGTAAGAAGCGCTGCAGGGATGGCGGATGAATAAGTACTAGTCCATAATTCAAAATTTAGCTTCCAACAGCAATTTCATTCCATGAGGGAGAGAAATTGGGGAAAAGGTAGAACCTTCAATGAAAAACAAAAAGTAGATCACATTGGAAGCAGTTTACCAAGAGGGTGAAAAGGAAGCAAGAGGCCTCAAGTGTTTTTACTGTCCGAAGGTGGGACACACCTTGTAGTGGAGAAGCCGAAGGGAACTGAGGAGTTAAAAGAAAAATACCCTGGAATTTTTCTGGACTATTGGTGACAAAATCCCACAGTCAAAGGTTAAAGCAGGAGGGGAAAACCAGAGAGAAAGATGAAGGAGTTGAGGTCCAGTTAGCTGACATCTTGTTTGACGAAATGGTAAAGGAAGAACCTAAACAGGTAGAGGTATTTAATTCTGAAAGATTACTGGAGCTACAACAAAAAAGATGAGACAACAAAAGATTTATATTATAAATGCTATTTGGAAAAGGAATCAGAACGTATTTCCCAGTGTTATTATCTCAAGAATAGAATCCCAAGGTGTAAATGGAGACACCAGCAGGTTAGTGCAGAGGAAAATGGGTGGAAATGCACCAGATTGTATCGCTGGTAGCATACACACAGGAAGTATTACAAGTAGCACACAAATTACCGATAGGAGGTCATTTAGGAGTGAGGAAAACTCAGGCTAAGATATAAAAGCACTTCTTTTGGCCTGGATTGCATAAGGATGTCGTTGAATTTTGCTGTACCTGTCATACACGTCAGATGGTAGGAAAGCCACGGGAAGTAATAAAACTAGCACCTTTGGAAAGGAAACCAGAATAAAAGGTATTAGACAGTGTCACTCTGCCCTTTGGTATGAAGAACACACCAGCCACATTTCAAAGACTTATAAACAGAGTTGTGGCAGGAATGACTAATTGTGCCGTCTACATAGTTGACGTCATGACCTTTAGCCATTCATGCAAAGAAAACATGGTGCATTTGGCAGCAGTCTTTGAAAGACTGCAGGAGGGAAAACTAGTTATAAAAACTTAGCAAAAACTGAATTTGTGAAGGCAGAAGTGACACTCGTGGGACATAACACCGGACATAGAAGGATGACCCTGAGGAATGCAAAGACGAAAGCCATCGAGGAATTTCACAGACCATCCTCGAAGAAAGAGGTGCTTTGACTTTTGGGACTGAGTAGATTCTACTGGAGGTTTGTGCCGAACTTTATTAGCATGGTGGCACCGCTGACCAAGTTGCTAAAGAAGAACACAAAATTTCGGTGGACAGAACAGTGCCAGGAGGTATTTGAGAATTAAAAAGCCATATGAACCATTGCACCAGTTTTAGACACACCAAATTTCCTGAAACCCTTTAAAGTCACTATCAATGCCAGGAATATAGGGATTGGAGCTGTGTTGGTGCAGGATGATGATGGCTGAATTGAAAAGCCAATTGGTTACTTTTCAATAAACTCAACATCCATCAGATAAAAAGAATTATTGAACTTGGTACTGGCCTTACAACATTTTAATATTTATGTTACAAACAACATTTCAGAGACAATTGTGTGTGCAGACCACAATCCTCTCCTCTTTCTGGAAAGATTTAAAGACAAAAACATAAGACTATTTCAATGGAGTCTTATGTTACAGGCTTATAACTTACAAATTGTACATGTTGCAGGACAGAAAAATGTTTTTGCAGATGTGTTATTGCAGGCTTAAAAAGGAAATGTTATATGTATATTTAGAATTAGTATGAAAGGTATAACTTGAGAGTACTGAACAATGTATTTTGTGGTAATAGTGTTAAGATTTAGAAAAAAAATGAAGTCATCTTTTTATAATGATGGTTCATTTTTTTTTTAAGGGAGGAGGTGTTATGAAGTTGGATAGAGTATTCATGAATTGAAAGGCAGGAAGTTCGAATTTTTTTGGTAAAAATGATGGTGGGGAAGAGTGTGCTATGGTCCCTTTAAGAGCTTGTGCTTTGTAGCTTACAAATGCAGGTGCATGGACAGTGCCCGAATGGAAACGTTTTGCATAGAGCAGCCAAGCAGCGTGTTTACAAGACAAGTTTGAATCTGGCCAATTAATTTAAACCAATCACCTAGATACGAAAAGCCAATTGAATTTAAATCTGATGGTGTTGACAACCTTAAACCAATCATATTATAAGAATTTGATGATGTCATTATGGGTACACAAGGGCATTTGGAAAATAGGGGAGAGCCATCCGCCAGTTGCCAAAGTTAGCACCATTCAGCTCTCAGAAAAACCCTCTCTAATTCATCAAAGGTACCACGGTATTTTAGCTCAAAGTCCTCATTGAAGAAATTACAGAGATAAAACATCCTTGACAGCAGAATTAGCAGAAGAAAGGTGTTTATGAATGTTGGGAAAAGACAGAATATTCCATCAAACAGTCTGTGCGAACTTGGAGAGATTAAGTTATAATTCATTGTTCTCTTATTAATTAGGTTTATTAAGTGGGACTTATGTTTATTTGAACAGCATTCCAGTGCAATTTAGACCAGTTAGGAAGTAGTTAGTAGTATAAGGGGGAATTGTCAGTTTGTTAGTAATTCTGTCAATTTGTTCATTGTTAGGTTAACTAAAAAAAAATTATTTCTTGTTACTTGTAAAATGGAGATCAGGGATTTATTTCTTTTAACCACGCTTTTAATAGATTATTAGGGGAAAGGTGAGCTTCTCTGGGTGTTTGAGGAGTAATTACTACAGAGGAACCCCTAAGTCCCATCATAACAGATTGGGGTTTGTGTTTTAGTTTAATTATCAGTGGGGTTCGACCTTTTCCCCTTCGTAACACCAGACATATATCATATCACATGTCAAGTACTTTTGTAAGTGTAACCTCTTTCAAGTACTAATGCCATTGAAGATGAGTACTCAACATACATTAAGAAACATCCATAAACTTTCCTTTCTTTTCTCCCTCTCCTAAAAATTTCCTTAATTATTATTTATGGGATTGAAAGGGGTAAAGCGTCACCAGACGCGAAATGTTAGCTCTGATTTTTTCTTCACAGATGCTGCCAGACTTGCTGAGCTTTTCCAACTAAATTCTGCTCTTGTTCCTGATTTACAACATCCACAGTTCTTTCGGCTTTCATTTAATACCTTTATCTGGTCTGATAATACAAGTGGATATGCAGTTTACCTGGAGTTAGGAGGATGACTGAGATGGTGATGAGAGAGCACACAGCAAGGATCACAAGCAAGGCAATCGCAATTCCCTTCCAGTTTCTTTGGGGAGGGCTTGCACCTCCTATCTCCTACAAAGGCAGAAATAACAGGTTTTACAACTGAGATTTCGTAATCGTAACATACTATTCAAAATGTGCAAAAACACAAGCATTAAGAGTTCGTTGCAATATTGATCATTGTAATTTTCATACTTAATTGCTTAAATTAGCAGACACTTCAGAGCAAGCTAAGACTGAATACTCTCTTGCATTTTACAACTGTTTGGTTTCTTTTAGTTCTACATTTATAACAAATATGTGATTTTACTTGCTTTTAAACTATCCTCATGGTGATGAATCAAATCTAACAGAAGCAAGACCACATTAAAAAAAGTTCTGCAATGTAAGGATGTTACCAGGGTTGAAGGGTTTGAGCTATAGGGACAGGCTGAGCAGACTGGGGCTAATTTCCCTGGAATGTCAGAGGCTGAGGGGTGACCTTGTAGAGGTTTATAAAATCATAAGGGCATGGAAAGGGTAAATAGACAAGGTCTTTTCCCTGGGGTGGGGAAGTCCAAAACTACAGGGCATGAGAGGGGAAAGATTTAAAAGGGACCTAAGGGGCAACTTCTTCAGGCAGAGGATTGTGCATGTATGGAATAAGCTGCCAAAGGAAGTCATGGAGGCTGGTACGATTACAACATTTGAAAGGCATCTGGATAGGCACATGAATAGGAATGGTTTAGAGGGATATGAGGCAAATGGGTCTGGATTTATTTAGGATATCTGGTTGGCATGGATGTGTTGGACCAAAGGATCTGTTTCTCTGCTGTACATTTCTATGACTCTATAACAACTCAGTTTCTGAGATCTGACTGGCTCTCAGAAAAGTGCTCCTTGTCAATATATTAGATAAGTTTTCAGGACCAGCCTCACATAGCAGAAGTATATCTCCCATCAACCAGTTCATCAGTATTGGTGTGGATTTTGTAGGATAGCACATTACAGGTCACCTACCCTCCTGTGTATCAAGGAAAATTCAATGCAACATAGAAGCATTTTCAAAGAAAAGCAATCATAAGAAAATGTTCAATTGAAAAGCTGAAGGAAATTTTGAGAATGTTTCCTTCAACATAATTTAAGAACATGTTTAATGTAGTGAAATATCCTGAGGTGCTGCACAGGAGTAATATCAAGTGAAAATTAGCACTATCTTCATAAACAACTATATGCCATAAAATTGCCTTAATGCAGCTAGGTCAGCTTTGTACATCTGAAGTCATTCTGTGAATTTATTTAAATGCTGCAATGTTACCTATAAACAATTAACTGTATGTATAGGACTACATTTATCATCCAAGAATAGTCAATGGTTGAATAACATAGCTTATGTCCCTGCACAGTTATGAAAGGAATCAATACCACCAGAAACTTACTGAAAACAAGTCATCATATTTTGCTGCAGAAGCCGCACAGAATTTTTTTTCAGATATGTACCTTACGTTCATATAAATTCTTCAACATGTTTGCCAAACTCCAAACTAAGCAACTGAGAAATTCACAGGGAGAGGATTGATTTACTCAATATGGAATTTACACTCAGCTGAATTACTGAATTTAAAGGGACAAACAGAACTGAAATCGATGAGTGGAGTAGAAAATAAGTACCACATTATGTAAAAAGAACATCTGAGGGATTCTGGTTCAAATGCATTGGCAGGTGAAGTGGTATGAGTGCTTACAGAATATGTGGACCAAGTCTCACAGGCATAATTCAATCACAATTGAAATAAATCACACATTTTGCATTCACTTTTATAATCCAAGTTTTCTAAACACCCACAACCATATTATCATTCTTGGATACATACTGTCCCCCCAGCAGAACAGATAGAGTAGAACAATGGTGCACAGTGGGAGGGAGGTGGCCTGGGAGTACCCAAAACCAACTCCAGACCCCACAAAGTCTCATGACATAAGGTCAAATATGGATAAGGAAACTTCTGCTGATTACCACCTGTTACCACCCATCCCTGACTTTGCCACTCCTCAGCTGATGAATCAATATTCCTCTATGTCAAACATCATTTGGACTAAGTGCTCACTCAAGAGTGCACAATCTACTCTGGGCGGGGGACCTCATTGTCCATCACCAAGTGTATTCAGCAGCTAGAAAGTCAGTGAGGGAATCAACAAGAAGGAACAACATATTTGATCACATCCCCACCAATTTGTCTCCCACAGCTGCACTTATCTATGACAGAATGCATTGGAGTGACCATCACACAATCCTTGACCTGCTGTTTTCATCCAGCTCTACACCTTGTTATCTCATCTAAAACGGTATTGGATTAACTTCAAACAGACTTGATTGTGATCTCTCATGACTACAAAGGCAATGAGGGGTTGATGACTCTCTGCTTAACAGATAGCCACCTCCTGTGGATTATGTTCAAAAACTGCAGCCACATTCTGTGTTTTTGCCTTTGAAGAATATACAAAAACTGATGTTGAAAAGATTCAACTCTGCTGGAATGTACTCATCAGACCGAAAGACCTTGTGCATACCAGTTTGGATTTGGTGTGCTGTGACAATCACAGTCAATGACATATCTCCTGGTAAGCTGTGGTGCAGATAAAATCCTGCTAGACCATCAAATGCTTCAAACCAGTTAAAAATGAAACAGGATTAAAAACACTAACTTACCCCGATTGCTGGAATTCAACCATAAGTGAAAGAAATCAGAATGACAGAATCTTATCCAATCTGCTGAACTAAAGTTTGTGCAATTGCAACTAATCACTGCCCAACCAGTGGGAGACTAACATGTATTTGAGAATTTTTAAAAACATGTATCTTTTTGGACTCACATCTAATTTATAATCTGTGTGTAATCTGTATTGTGCCACCAACTCTTCCCATGTTTAGGCATTCATAAACTTTTCTTTTGTTTTTTAAAGAATGTCCGGTTAAATTGCTCATATAAAACAAAAGTTAATTTGGGTCTGGGAGAAAGGGCAGGAACCTTTTTTGAAAAGAACATTGACCTTCCTGTAATGCATCAAGGGGGTGGGTGAATAAAGAAGTAGAGCCAGTTTGTCCCTCTTCATCTGGAGCTTAACAGTTAGGGCATCCCATCTGGAACCATAAGAAATGGGGAAACTTGCCGAGTGTCTCCTCATTGTGGATATAGCACTTGGGGCTAAAGAGGTCGAGAGTTATGGTGGAAAGTTGGGAATAGCTTATTGAGTTGGATGATTGGCCATGATCATGATCAGTGGTGGAGCAGTCTCAAAGAGCTGAATGGCCTACTCCTGCTCCTATTTCCTGTATTTCTAACAGTACTCTCCATCTCATGGTGGGAGTACCACTACATTAAACAGGATAGATTTTGAACAAATCTAGCAACTCAAAACTGAGCATGCACGAGGTGCCGTAGGCTACCAGCAGACACAATGACAAACATTCAGACGCAGAAGGTAATCTCATGACTTAGCATATTTCTCACTCTACCATTAGCATCAAGCCAGGAGGTTAATCCAGGTTCAATGAAGAATTCAGGCATGCATGCCAGGTGCACCTGGCATACCTAAAAATGAGATGGCCAACTGGTAAAACTACAAAACAGGACTACTTCCATGCTATCTAGTGTGAGAAGCAAGTGATAGACAGAGCTAAGCAAGTAATAGATGAGACCCAAGCTCTACAGTCCTGAATGGGGCATGCAACTAAACAATTTACTACAAGAGAAGGCTCCACAAATTTCCCCATCCTCAATAATGGGGGAGACAGCACGTCAGCGTAAAAGTTAAGGCTGATGCATTTGCAACAATTTTCAGCCAGAGGTGCCGAATGGATGGTCCACCTTGGCTTACTTCAGAGGGCCCCAGCATCAGACATGCCAGTTTTCAATCAATTTGATATCAAGAAATTGCTGAAGGTACTGGATACTGCAAAGTCTATGGGCTCTGGCAATGTTCTGGCAATTGTGCTCCAGAACTTGGCTGTGCCTCCAGAAATGCTGTTTCAGTACAACATCAATGCAGACAATTTGAAAATTATCCAAGTATGTTCTGTGTACAAATAAAACAGAACAAAAACAATCTAGCCAATTGCTGCCCCATCAATCCACACTTGATCATGAGTAAAGTGATGGATAGAGTCATCAACAGTGCTACCAAGCAGTACTTGCTCAGCAACAACCTGTTCTCTAATATTCAATTTGGGTCCCACCAGGGCCCTCAGCTCCTGACCTCATCACAGCCTTGGCTCATTTAAGTTTAATAGAGTTAAACTAGAAGGTGAGAGGAGAGTGACTGCCCTTGTATATTACCTTGTGGCTGCATTTGACGGTGTGTGGCATCAAAACTGGTATCAAAGAAATCAGAACGAAAACACTTTACTGGTTGATGTCATACTTGGCACAAAGGAAAATAGCCGTGGTTGTTGGTGGACAGAAATCTCAGCTCCAGGACATCCCTGCAGGAGGTCCTCAGGGTACTGTACTGATCTCAAACATCTTCAGATTCTTCATCAATGACCTTCCCTCCACGATAAGGTCAGAAGTGGGGATGTTCACTGATGATTGCACAAATGTTCAGCACCATTTGCAACTCCTCAGAAGCTGAAGCAGCCCATGTCCAAATGCAGCAAGAACCCTGGCAGCATTTAGGTTTGAGCTGACAAGTGGCAACTAAGATTTATGCATCAGAAGTGCCAGGCAATGACCATCTTCAGCAAGACAGAATTTAGTCATCACCTCGGGATATTCTTTAGCATTACTATCGCTAACAGATTTGGGGGATCATGACGGGATCTGGACAGATTTGGACAACTCATGTCCAGAATCTGGCCGGTTCACATATGGGATCTGAATGGATTTGGACAGGTTCAAACAGACATGGGGATTACGGTCTTTGATCTTTAAATAAAATTTTAGTGAGAAAAATCTGTTTAATTTTGGTTCCTTATCATTGGTTAAATTAAAACATTGCTAAACAGGTTCTGGGGTTTGAAGATGCTTCCCAAATTTGCCATGAGAGTTTAGAAAGACAGAGGAAGAATATACTTTTAAACTTAGCAAACAGGCTAGAATTGGGTTTAACTAGGGATAAGAGGAAAGCTGAAATAGTAATGGAGTTGGTCAAACACTTAGGTATGCCAGAGAAACAAGTGCAGTGGAGTTGGAGAAAATTAAATTGAAAATTGGACAATTGGAGTTAGAAGAGAAAGCAAGGGAAAGATTAGCCATGTTGGAAGATAAAGAAAGGGAGAGAAGGTTCTTAGCAGAACAAAAAGAGAAAGAGAGAGTTGGAACTTCAGAAGTCACAAATGAAACAGGAAAGTCAATTTACAAGGACGGAGATGAAGGTAGAAGATAGGCTTAGTGAGGAGGAGGGTGATGATAACTAAACCCATCATAGTCAAAAACATGGTAGGGACATATACAAATATGTCAAAACATTACCAAAATTCAATGAAAAAGATGTAGAAGCCTTTTTCATTTCCTTGAGAAACTGGCTAGGCAGATGAATTAGCCAGAGACTGTGTGGGTAATGTTAATTCCGACCAAGTTGGTAGGCAGGGATAGTCGGGTGTTTGTAGCATTGTCAGATGAGGTGCCTATGAATTGGTACCAGAAGCAGATAGACAACGGTTCAGAAACATAAAAAGAGTACCACGGAACTTCTATCTAAGAATTTTTATGGAGAAAATATCCCCTGACAGCAGAATCAGTAGAAGAACAACATTTTTGACTTGAGATCGACAGAAGAAAGGCTGAAGAAGGTAGAATGTTCCAGATGTTTGTTCGAACTTGGAGAGATTAAGTTTTAATTTATTGTTGTCTTAATAACTGGGTTTATATAAGTGGGACTCATGTTTATTTGAACAGCAGTCCAGTAGAATTTAGTTCAGTTAGGGAATAGTTAGTACTTGAGGGGAATTGTTCGGTTTGTTAATAATTCTGTTAATTTGTTCATTGTTAGTGTCAAATAAATAAATTGTTACTTGTCATTTATAAAGTCAATCAGGGACTTTCTTTCATTTAACCTCCCCT